CCCCATCATCTCAGGTTCTGCCACTGTGCAGTACCTGGGGGCTCCAGCCTTCCATCCTCAGGGGTAAGAGATCTAGGTCTGAGTCCTGCCAGGGACCAGTCCTGACCCCTGGGGTCTACTAGAAGGAAAAACCTCTGCCTCTCATTCTGGCCTTGACTTTCAAACACCTGGGGTATGGCTCAAGCCTTGATTATATTTCACTTTCTACCATTCTCCTGCACACACCCACAATGCCTCCTCTAGTTCCTCCAGGAGAGAGCCAGAGTCTTCACAATGGCCCTAGACTCCTCACCTGGCTAGAGTCAGGACAGTCAGGGGCAAGCCCAGCACCCTTCTCAGTGTACTGATTTTAATTGAATAAAATCAAATGTATAGTAATGATTTGTAGGTTGGAAAGGAAACCAATCACACTGAAGTACAGCTATAGAAATATCTTTAAAACACACATGTGGGCTGGGAATGTGGCTTAGTGGTAGACTGCTTGCCTAGCATGCATGAAGTCCTGGGTTCGATTCCTTAGCACTGAATAAACAGAAAAGGCCAGAAATGGCACTGTGGCTCAAGTGGTAAAGTGCTAGCCTTGAGCAAAAGAAGCTCAGGGACAGTGCCCAGGCTCTGAGTTCAAGCCCCAGGACTGGCAAAGAACACACACACACACACACACACACACACGTTATGGTAAGCGTGTCTCTCACATGATCTGGTGGGCTTTGATTACTGCCCTGTAGAACTTGCCTTGAGTGTTTACCACATTTGGCGGTCGCAGGAGCCCCACCCCCTTTTATCACCACATTCCTATGGAGGGGTGAGCCTGGTCATCTCCTGGTTTAGCTTACTCATGGGTGGGAGCTGAGCCTGGGAGTCCCCATTAAAGCACTTACACATGATCCTTTCTGTGCTCCTCTATTCTCATCCCTGTCTACCCTGCTCCAGCCACCCTGGCTTCGACACTAGCTTCAGACCTATCTATCCCCATGTCCCCTCCTTAATGCCTTTACACCGGTTGTCCTTCCACCTGGAGCTCCCTTCCCCAGGCTGCTGACTGAATATCCCCTCACCCTGTTCCAAACTTTGCTCCAATGTCATCTCCTCAGGGCTTTAATTGCTGGACCTCCCTGTTTACAACCACCTCTGCCTCTGAGCTGTTGCCTTAAATGCCTAATGTCTATCTGCTCCTCTCAAACCCCAGCTCCCAAGGGCAGTGATCTGTCTCATTCAGGGCAGAGCCTCCCCCACTCAGAACAAAGCCTAGGTATAGAAAGTGCTCAGTGAATATGTATGTGAAGCAATGTTGATACAATGTGATACATTGTATGTGATACAATGTTGATACACTGCCATAAGATGAAGAAAGTGTTGGATTCTGTAAGCCTAAAACTGCTCTAAAATTAAAGTCTACCAGGCACCGGTGGCTCATGACCATAATCTAGCTACTCAGGAGATTGAGATCTGAGGATCTTGGTTCAAAGCCAACCAGGGCATACAACTTCAAGAGATCCTTATTCAATTTACCATCCAAAAAAGTCAGACATGAAGGTATGGCTCAAGTATAGAACGTCAACCTTGAATGAAAAAGCCAAGTGTGGGGTGGGTATGACGCTCTTGAGTTCAAGCTCCAGTACCAATGTACTGTACACACACACACACACACACAACCACCACCACACCACCACAACCACCACCAACAACAAAATCTATTAGTTTTTTGAAGATAGGAATACTTGAGATTAATAAAGTTCAGAGACGGGATTTTTGAACTAGTCACCCAGCAACAGCCTCAGAGAGGCCCATGTGGGGCACTTATCACATAGCAAGGCCTGGTGAGGAGGAACTCACCCCATGTGACACAGAAAATGCAGTCACAGGGAAGATTGTACCTGGAGATGGCCGAAGTCTGGTTCCACCAAGTGGTGACCACCTAAGTCTATAAAGCCTCCAGGAGGTGGAGATGGCAGATGGCCTTGGTGGCTGCCTGCCCTTCCCTGGGGCCCCGCTTCCTCTCTGGGCTCCCCGCCCCCCACTGGATGGCACATAGCTCTGGTCTGCAGCTCAGCTAAAGGTGACCGTCTCCTTGACCGCAGGCTGGGGTGACTGGAGGCAGCTCCCAGCTGGGATTACTGCATGCAAAGGATGCTGGGAGAGTGAGCTTCTCCCATCCAGTTCCAGCCTGCACTCCCCAGTGCTTTTCCAGGGCATGGGCCATCCAATGCTCATAGACACCCATCCACACCTACGCTCACTCAGGCACACACAAACTCACATGCACACACACACACTCATCTGTGCACACACAGACACTAACCCTCAGCCATGGCCTGAGTACAAACACTTCTGTGCACTCATCCATGACTGTCACACTCAAGCTTGCACACTTGCACGCCCTCACATGCCCCTCACACACCCAAACCCAAGCAGATGCCACCCCCAGGCTGCTCCCCCTCTGTAGCCCTGGTTCCTTTCCATCTGTGGTGACAGAATCAGCGGCCTCTTCCACGGCCCACGGGTGAGGTGGAGCCGCTGTGTCTCCTGCAGGGGCCCAGTAGCTCACAGCACAGCTGCTGGGCACTCTTAAGATGGAATCCACCTGCTCACTTTGCTGCCAGTTTAAAGAAAAGAAAAAAAAGGAAGCTCAGGAAGGGGCAGTGAGCGCTCTGAGGTCACACAGCATTGCCCCGTCAGAGTCAGGGAGGTGAGCTGAGTCCCTGTCTACAGTCCAGGGATTTTGCCAACTTGTGTCCCCTCCCCTCCCTGCCCTGCCATGGGACTGGCTTTTATTTCCTGGAGCAAATGGACCTGTGTGTGAGTGTTAGGAGTGTAGGGGTAAATAATCGTTTCTCCTTTCCCACAGGCAATGAGCAGAAGGTGTTCATGTTAGTAGTCAGGGAGGGTAGGAGGGATCTAGGCCACTACTGAATACAAGGAAGTATGCATGTGTGTGCACACACATGCACACACATGTGCCTGTAAGAACAGTGACAGAGATCCATCTAGTAACCTCCCATCCTGGGCCTCTATCCATACCTCATATCACTCCATTTCAACTTCACACCCCTCTTAAAGAAGCAGATTACACTCCTTACCTCACTGACACTAGAGGTCAGAGAGATTCAGTGACCTGTCCCAGGTCACACAGCAGTAAAGCCAAGCTTCAGTTCCAGATCTGTCTGCCTCCAAAACTTGGTTTAATGCACCCACTTAAGACCCATGTCTCCTACTATGTGCCAGGTGTTCTGAACTCCCACAGGCCCAGAGGAAACTCCGGAAGAAGTGAGGCAGGGTGGGAAGCCAAGCGTCCAGCAAGGCAAAGGCTGGAGCTGGGACTTGAGCGACATGACATGAGGGTCCTCCCCTCACCCCATGCTGCCGCTGCTGGAAGCTGAGCTCCCGGCATCTAGGAGCAAGGCTGGGGTGCCTGGTCCTGAGGCTGGTACCTCAGGAGGGCTTGGGGACGGGATGTTGGAGAATAAGCCCTTGCCTCACAGGGATGCCTGCCTCCTTCCTCCCTCCTCCCTCCCCATCGAGCCTCTAGGAATAGAGGCCCTGCCACACCTTGCTAGGGACCTGGGACAGGGTCTGAGGTTGGCACAATTGAAATGCATGGAAGGACAGATGGAGACAACTGGAAGGTGGGATCTCATCATCTTACAGCCCAGTTTTGAGGCTGGCAGATTCCATCACAAGTGTTTGTTGGGAGCTCCCTAGAGACACAAGAGCCTCTCAGGAGGGGGCAAATCAGGACTCTCCAGAGTACTCAGGGAAGAGAGTATACTGAGTAGAAGTTGGGAATGATCACTTTTATTTTAAGTTCCTTGTGGAACTGCTGTTTGACTTCAGGTAAGTTGCCTGACCTCCTTGGGCTTTAGTCTTCTCATTAAAGAAAATAGGGAAACACTGCTGGCTGGGCAATCAGCTGGTAGGCATTTGGAGACTAGAATGGGTCCTATTGATTGCACGTACCTGTTAGTTATGTCAGCACTGCTATGTTGAACAAGTGAGACAAATAGCTTAAAGGGCAGGGGGTGGTATTTGTGGCTCATGGTTTCAGAGGGTGTAGCCCATGGTCCCTGGCTCCTCGCTTCAAGGCCTGTGTAAGGCAGGACATCATGGTGGAGGGTGGGGAGGTCGTGTGAAGGAGGCTGTTCACCTCATGGCAGACAGGAAGCAGAGACAGAAGGGACAAGGGATGAGACACAGCCTGCAAAGTCACTCCTAGGGACCCACTTGCTCTAGGCAAGCACTGCCTCCTCGTGTTCCCAAAAGCTCCCCAAATATCGGGCAGTAATCCTAGCTACTTAGGAGGCTGAGATCTAAGGGTTGTAGTTTGAAGTTAGCTTGGGCAGGAAAGTGAGACTCTTATCTCCACTTAACCACCAAAAAGACAGAAATGGAGCCGTGGCTCAAGTAATAGAGAGCCAGCCTTGAGCAAAGAAACTAAGAAACAGCACCCAGGCCCTGAGTTCAAGCCCTAGTACTAGCACAAAAGCCTGGGAACACACAGAGCTTCCAGGGTCCCTGAGGAGCCGGTGTGGCAGGGAGATGTCATCTTCAAGCTGTAACATTACTATGCTTTGTTCCCCCAGATAATCTGAGGATTGCACTCTAGATTGGGAGGGTGGTGCGCATTTCTGGGGCTTTCTTAGTCAGATCCAGGCCTGCAGGCCAGGCTGAGTGGTGCAGCAGGATCCTAGGTGCCAGACAGTGGGTGGTTCTATTGCCAGCCAGGAAACTGAGAGAAAGCTCAGGGAACTTACACACCTATAAAACCCAGCCCCGTGAACCACCAGGCCACTGCAGGGGTGCCCGTCCTTCCTCCCCACCCAGCACCTGCCCCTGGGACACATAACCCCCCACCCACGTGACCGAGAACGGGCTGAAAGCAACAGTGTGCCCTCCTGTGTGTGACCTCTGACCTCCCTCCCCACACGCCCCGCCCCACCCGGGCAGAGTGTCCCCCACCGTGTCCGCCCGCCTTGCCGTCCCCGCTCTGACCCTGGCGCCTGCAGGTGCGGCTGGTGATCGCCGAGAAGGGGCTGGCGTGCGAGGAGCGGGACGTGAGCCTGCCGCAGAGCGAGCACAAGGAGCCCTGGTTCATGCGGCTCAACCTGGGCGAGGAGGTGCCGGTCATCATCCACCGGGACAACATCATCAGCGACTACGACCAGATCATCGACTACGTGGAGCGCACCTTCACCGGAGGTATCGCGCATGCGCGCGTGCGCAGGGCCGCCCGGCCGGGCGGGACAGCGGCCCCACGGGGACCCCACAGGCTCACACCCGGCCTTTGAGCCTTAGAAAGCCACTGGGCCTTGGGTGAGGCCCATTATCCCTCCCCAAATAAAAGGTTCCCCGGAGTACAGGCAGGGGTCAGATGTCCCCCAAGAATCTCAGAGTGGTAAGGACTGCTGCAAGTCTAGTGCCCCCCCCCCACTTGCCTGGACTGCAGGGAGAAGGACATGGCCCAGGCTCTGGAAGGAGGCTGTAGCTCCAGTCCCCAGAAGGCCTGGAGACACAGACCCTCTGGGAGGTCCCCCAGCCCCCTGTGCCCTGTAACCATAGCTGGGACCAGACTCCTAGGGACCCCACAGACATAGTACCAGCCATCCAAGAACGCTGTAGACCCCAGAACCTTACGGGAGACCCTGTATCCTCTCCTGCCCCTTGGCCTTTGACCGGCTCAGGATTGGCTGCTGGTGGCAGAGACTCAGGCAGCCCCTGAGAGGGGCCCGGCAGGATGGCTTGTACTATAAAATAATGATGATGATGATGATGATGATGAAGAGGAGGAGGAGGAGGAGGAGGAGGAGGAGGAGGAGGAGGATGCATTATGTTGAGCAATGGTGGCTCACACCTGCAATCCTAGCTACTCAGAAGGCTAAGATTTAAGGATCATGGTTTGAAGCCTGCCTGGGTAGAAAAGTCTGTGAGATTCTTACATCCAGTTAACCAGTCCCAGTTCTGGGAATGAGGGTGCCTGGGACCCTCTGGGTGTGACATTTGGGGTTCTGGGATGCTAAGGGTGGGTGGCTGAGGCAGGGCCAATTGAGGACCTGGCCCAGCCTTTGGCAATATCCCACAGAGCACGTGGTGGCCCTGATGCCCGAGGCTGGCAGCCCACAGCATGCCCGGGTGCTGCAGTACAGGGAGCTGCTGGACGCTCTGCCCATGGACGCCTACACCCATGGCTGCATCCTGCACCCTGAGCTCACCACCGACTCAATGATCCCCAAGTATGCCACGGCCGAGATTCGCAGTGAGTGCGAGCAGCTCTGAGAACCTTCCCTGCCCTGTCCCCTCCTTTAGACAGGAGGCCTTCTGCTTTGTCCTCCAGCCTGAGTCTCTTCCTCCTTGTCCTCCCCCTTCCTCCCTCTCTCCATCTTGCCTTTCTGTGTGTCCCTGGCATTTCTGTCTCTTACTGTAAGCTGGCTCTCTCTCTCTCTCTCTTTCTCTGTACTGGGACTTGAACTCAGGGCCTTACCTGAAACCCCTGTTGCTTTAGTTTTTTTACATTTAAATGTATTTGTTTTTATCTTTAAGTAGTTGTACAAAGAACTATTAATTCAACATATCAGTTTTAACCTACTTTAAACAGAGATAACAGTTGTTATGAAGTGCAGTTTGGTAATTCAGTAAGTATATACTATCTGTAATCATCACAATCTATATAAAGTAGACCAGTAGAGAAATAAATATGATTGCAACCAGAAAAGAAAGTAGGTGAACTATTACTCATGTGCCCACACATAAAGAAAAACCTGAGGAAAGCTTTAGTGATTTTAAGGTAAGTTCCTCCTCCTGTCCACCTTGGGGCAGGCCTCAGACCCAAATCCTTCTACCTCTACCTCTCAAGTGGCTAGCATTACAGACATGAGCAACCATGCCTAGTTTACTGTGAGATGTTTTCTGTCCCTCTCTTTCTATCCTTCCTCCCTTCTTCTCCCTCTCCCTCCTCCTGCTTTCTTTGCTCTTCTCTTCTCTCTGGCTTTCCATCCCTTTCACTGTTTCTAATGGAATATGGCACTGTCCCCTTGCCCTGGCCAGGTCCTGCCACCCCATTTAGAAGCTACAGGGTTAGCTGGCCTTGAGAGGTTTTTTTTTTTGGTCTCCATGAAGCTGAGGGGTGGGCAGGGGGGCTGGGATCCTCAAGCAGTCCCAATCACAGACCCCTGGGGTTGGAGCTCAGGAAGAAGCCCTTTAACTAGTTGCTCAAATCACTAGTAACCTTGGGTGAGACTATCAAGGCTGCTGGGGAGGGGGGGAGCGGTGTTGGGGAATCTGTTTTCTATTTCATGGCCACCAATGAACTATCTTTGTCAGTAGCCTGAACATGTCCACAGCCTGGTTCATCCTTTTAGATCCAGCACTGGATAAGGTGGAAGTGGGTTAAGTCAGATAATCCATCAGTAGCTGCTCCTGGGGATTTGGGAATTTTGGAGCTCAAAGACCTGGGACCATATCTTGTAGGATCCCTTCCCTTCCCATTCCATTGTCTTGCTGATTGACAAAAGCAGGGAGGGCTCTGGGTGTAGCATTGGCCCTGTCTGTTACACTCAGGATTTATTTCCTGTAAGGTCTGGCAACACTTATGAGGCCCTGGGGGGCTGGGGCTGGATAGGGATGGACTGGACTTGTTTGTCCAGGGCCACAGTTCCACCGGAGTGAAGACAAGGACTTGGTAATTACAATGTGTAACAAAGTAAACTTGGACAGCATCTATCATACTTGTAAGGGTCTGGAGACTATTGTGCAGTTACACTTGGACTTGAGCACTAAGAAGTATGTGCAAGGATATCTACTGCAGCATAGTTGATCCAAGTAAGAAATATCAGTGGAAATAACCCAGCTACCCCTGGGGAGAGGAGTGAGTAAATGAGTTACAGCCTTGCCGTACAGTGAAATACTGCACAGATGTTTAAAAAGAACAGCAGGCATGTGAGGCTCTTTCAGATAGACTAAGGAGTGGAAAAAGGAGAAGGGGGAGCAAGCTTGAGGTGATGTGGCCCAGCACCTGCAATGCTGAGACAGGAGGATTGTGAATTCTGGGATACATAAATCAGATACCATCCCCCCAAAAAGGACAAGAGAAGGCTTAGAGATTTACAGGGGCTCTTAGTACAAGCCAGGAGAGTTCTGGGAGAAACACAGGAAGTAGCAGTGGTCTTTGAGGTGCAGAGCTGCCAGACTGCAGATGGAGAAGAGGGAGAGAGATGTATTGTTGCTGTACATTCTTTAGCATGGTTAGAATTGTTTTTTTTTAACAAGTCGGCAGGAATAGCCTGTACAAAAATAGTTTTTTAAAAATCTTTTATCTAGTCCCAGCCATGTGATAGGAGTCATATGGAGGTAAAATCTTTTATTTAGTCCCAACCATGTGATAGGAGTCATATGGAGGTTTGGAGCCATGGAAAATGCCTGTCCTGAACCCGGGGACCTGGGACCATCTAAGGATAGATTGGAGCAGTTGGGGAAGGAGAGGGAGGCCAAGGGGCCAGGTTCTGGGAGGGCCGGGGGTTGTGTGGGGAGTTGGGGGAAGTGCAGGGTGCCAAAGGAGTCTGAAGGTTGGGTCTGGTAGAAGAGGGGTTGATCAAGAAGGTAGCAGGGAAGCTGTGGGCAGTGACAAAGCAGATCTGCACCTCGCAGAGACAGGAGATGGAGCAGTTCAGAGGCCCTGAGGGTTATCTAGGTAAATGGAGATGGTAGCCTGGCCTAGGACAGATCCCTGCATCTGGCGGTGGGCCACTTCCTTCCTCTTGTCCTGAGCTATTTGAAGGCATCTGGGAGGTAGTGGGGTCCAGAGGAGGCCCAGCCCTCTACTCTACCTCCATTGATGAAGTAGGAAGCATTTAAGGACTTCAGCTAAGATAAGGCCAAGGGAAAGCTCCCGGGGGGGGGGGGGG